ACAGGAATGCAGGGGCAAGATTAGAAAGGCAAAGGCACAAAATGAGCTCAAACTAGCTCCGGGAATAAAGGGAAACAAGAAGACTTTTTATCAATACATTAGAAGCAAGAGGAAGACCAAAGACAGGGTAGGCCCACTGCTCAGTGAAGAGGGAGAAACAGTAACAGGAAACTTGGAAATGGCAGAGATGCTTAATGACTTCTTTGTCTCCCCTCACCGAGAAGTCTGAAGGAATGCCTAACATAGTGAATGCTAATGGGAAGGGGGTAGGTTTAGCAGATAAAATAAAAAAAGAACAAGTTAAAAATCACTTAGAAAAGTTAGATGCCTGCAAGTCACCAGGGCCTGATGAAATGCATCCTAGAATACTCAAGGAGCTAATAGAGGAGGTATCTGAGCCTCTAGCTATTATCTTTGGAAAATCATGGGAGATGGGAGAGATTCCAGAAGACTGGAAAAGGGCAAATATAGTGCCCATCTATAAAAAGGGAAATAAAAACAACCCAGGAAACTACAGACCAGTTACTTTAACTTCTGTGCCAGGGAAGATAATGGAGCAAGTAATTAAGGAAATCATCTGCAAACACTTGGAAGGTGGTAAGGTGATAGGGAATAGCCAGCATGGATTTGTAAAGAACAAAGCGTGTCAAACCAATCTGATAGCTTTCTTTGATAGGATAATGAGTCTTGTGGATAAGGGAGAAGCTGTGGATGTGGTATACCTAGACTTTAGTAAGGCATTTGATACGGTCTCGCATGATATTCTTATCGATAAACTAGGCAAATACAATTTAGATGGGGCTACTATAAGGTGGGTGCATAACTGGCTGGATAACCATACTCAGAGTTGTTATTAATGGTTCCCAATCCTGCTGGAAAGGTATAACAAGTGGGGTTCCACAGGGGTCTGTTTTGGGACCGGCTCTGTTCAATATCTTCATTAACGACTTAGATATTGGCATAGAAAGTACGCTTATTAAGTTTGCAGATGATACCAAACTGGGAGGGATTGCAACTGCTTTGGAGGACAGGGTCATAATTCAAAATGATCTGGACAAATTGGAGAAATGGTCTGAGGTAAACAGGATGAAGTTTAACAAAGACAAATGCAAAGTGCTCCGCTTAGGAAGGAAAAATCAGTTTCACACATACCGAATGGGAAGAGACTGTCTAGGAAGGAGTACGGCAGAAAGGGATCTAGGGGTTATAGTGGACCACAAGCTAAATATGAGTCAACAGTGTGATGCTGTTGCAAAAAAAGCAAACATGATTCTGGGATGTATTAACAGGTGTGTTGTGAGCAAGACACGAGAAGTCATTCTTCCACTCTATTCTGTGCTAGTTAGGCCTCAACTGGAGTATTGTGTCCAGTTCTGAGCACCGCATTTCAAGAAAGATGTGGAGAAATTGGAGAGGGTCCAGAGAAGAGCAACAAGAATGATTAAAGGTCTTGAGAACATGACCTATGAACGAAGGCTTAAAGAATTGGGTTGTTTAGTTTGGAAAAGAGAAGACTTAGAGGGGACATGATAGCAGTTTTCAGGTATCTAAAAGGGTGTCATAAGGAGGAGGGAGAAAACTTGTTCATCTTAGCCTCTAAGGATAGAACAAGAAGCAATGGGCTTAAACTGCAGCAAGGGAGGTTTAGGTTGGACATTAGGAAAAAGTTCCTAACTGTCAGGGTGGTTAAACACTGGAATAAATTCCCTAGGGAAGTTGTGGAATCTCCATCTTTGGAGATATTTAAGAGTAGGTTAGATAAATGTCTATCAGGGATGGTCTAGACAGTATTTGGTCCTGCCATGAGGGCAGGGGACTGGACTCCATGACCTCTCGAGGTCCTTTCCAGTCCTAGAATCTATGAATCTATGGGAGCCGCGATCGGTCGAACCTGCGGAGGCAGCAGGTAAACAAACCGGCCTGGCCCGCCAAGGGCTTTCCCTGAACAAGCGGCGGACTGGCTTTGAGAACCACTGTCCTAAACTGATCCACACTTTGAGCACCAGTCCAGTTTTGTGAGGAACCGGTGATACTTCTGAAAAAACACATGCCTTGAAGTGTCTGTGTCAACCCCCATCCCCCGAGTGTCATTAAACAAGTGGGGAAAGAAGGGTGCCGCTTTGCTGGATATGACTTTGAATTTACATTCATTTAATAATTGAGGCACTCGTTATAAAGCACAAGGAGGAAAAGCTCAAGGTGTGTAAGTACCTACAAGCTTTTGATTTGGAGGCAAATGCAAAAAAGAGGAAAAAATCTATTTCTAAGCTGGAACTTTCCCAAAATCGTTAATTTGCAATCTTTTTCAAAAGCTAACCTTCAAAAAATAGTGTATCAAATTCCATTTTTGTAATAATTTGTTGATTCTTAGGAGGTAAATCTGGAGTGCCCAGCCTCTGTCTACACATGCACTTATATGTGTGCAGGTGTTAACATTTGCACATGCAAAACCTATGGGTCCAATAGTGGGTTTTTTTTTTGGTTTTTTTTTTTTTTTTAAAGTTACTGGCAAATTTAGTGCACTATCCAATACATACATACAGAGAGAACTCTACATCTAAATGTTAGAATGTGGGAGATAGATTGTGTCTGTCTCCATTCGCTCCCAGGTTTTACATCAGCATAACTCCACAGGCTTTAATGGAGTTTCTCTTGACTTTGAAGGGAGAGAAGAATCAGCCTAGCAGCGAGAGCTTTTTTTCGGTCTAGTTTGGTACATAACAATGTTGCGTATCTCAAAGTATAAAAGCATGTGTTTTTGATGACCCTTGACAGTTTACATGTAGGTGCTGCTTGTGACATTGAGTAGGAAGATTTTTGTAGGCATTGTCATAGTTACAGTATGAACGACTGGGGTAGAGTCCCTGCTGTTTATAAACAAACAGCATAATAGCCAGAACCCATTAATCCCCAAACAGATCTTGGAGAGCTGGATTTGAGCGTCAATTTAATCTCGCTTTAATTATTTTAACCACATCTCAATTTCAGGGTTTTCTTTTATGGGTCACATTATATGATCATTCATTTTCTCATGGATCTTATACAAAAAAAAGGGGGCACATGGTCAGATTATGATGAAGGTTAGGGGAGCATCCCACAGAATAAAGGGTCAGGTTTGTAATCGTATGTATGTGAAACGGGTTGTACACATGACCAGCATGATTAGATAAAGTTCTGCAGGCAGCCTGGCGAGTGTGCGCACACATGGGCATACAGGATGTTGACAGGTTGGTCACCCTATCCAGCAGAGGTTGGGGCTTTTTTGAGTTCGTTGATTACTATGGTGTAGCAAAAGTGGGATTCCTTTCCATTTGAATTGTCTGCATGAGCATGTTGGAAGAATTTCTGACCTGATCCTTATTTACATTAAGGCCCCTTTACAATGCCATGGCAGCATAAAGGAGCATGAAAGTGGATATAGGTGCAATATATACTCACCGTAAGGCTTATTTAGAATGAGAGAGGGGTGTAATGAGTATCTGGCTGAAATTCTACACATCAGAATCTGGTCTAGCATGCTGGGTTTCTTCTCTCCCTTCAATATGATCACTTCCAAACAAATTTCAGTTACTGGTTCGTAGAACTAGTGGGAAAAACTGTATTCTACCCTTTTGAAATGCCTGGGAGGAGAACCTACCATAAACAGATTAGTCTTTTGGAGACAGAATAGCTTCATGTATTCTGTTTTCCCTCTAACAGAATGGTTTACAGCATAGACTCAACTTTCCACTTGACACTGAGGGGAAAATGTAATAGATTAAAGCATTAACCTTTCATTGCTGTAATACCATCACTTACAGGGTTTGTTAAAAAGAGGAGACTCCTTTATCTTGGAAGCTTATCTTTGAAAAAGAGGACTGAGAGAAACCCATTTAAAATGTGTTAAGAAATATTAGTTTTATTTTAACCAATTTTCACAGCTGAATATTTATTCTATAAAAACTTTACAGATTGTACAGTTTATATATAGTTCAAACTACTAGAACAAAGTAGGTCCCACAGATGCAAAAATACTGTACCAATCCAAGGTAAAAGCAATTTACATACTGTACAGCTCTCCACTAGGAAGGGAGGTGGTCAGTTCCAAGTATAAACTTCAAAACTGTACAAAAATAAGGTTTGATTTTTCATTCTTCATAATACATTCAATAAGATTGCAAGCACAGATACCCAAGTAATAGTAGATATCTGCAGTCAGGAATCAGTAACCAGTCCTGAAAGGAATGCAAAATAGGTCTATTTACAGAGGGCACTCTTTTACACCATATTGTGTATATATAGTGTATATTTAAAATAATAAAAAAGCATAGACAAAGAACATTAAACATCTACTATAAGGTAGTTTTTTATAAAAGGAGTTTTTGTATGTAATAGTGTGCCAAAAGAATTTTAACTTATTTAAATAAAATATATTCTAAGTGAACCTAAAATGCATTTTTGGTGTAATACATCAATTAATCCAGCAAATAGAAAAAAAACCATACTGTGTAGAAAGTAGTATTCTCACCCAGCAACAGAAGCACTTATGTAGTTATTAAAAAAAATCAAAACTATTTAAAAAAACACTAAAACTAACTTATAACTTAGGATATTCATATACATAAGATATTCAGTGATTCACTAATACTGCAAAACAAGCTTTTTCCCCCCCTAAGAGACAGTGGTTTCTTTATGCTATCTAAGTAAGAATTAGACATGTTCCCCCCCAAAAAAGGGGTTGAGTGTTTTCTTAGCATAGCTCCTGAGCACACTCTTTTTGGGATATTTATCTAATTAAATCTTTCATTATAGGGTTTTATTCTCAAACAAAAAAAAATTAGAATGTTCCATTAGTTGAGGTATTTCAACCTTCTTCTGAGATCAAGACAATGCCTTATCTTAAGCCACTTGTTGGGTCGTGAAAGTAGGGGTTGGCTAATACCCGTTTCAATTCTGTATTTTAGTGAAGGGGGGGAAGCATTATTCAGACTTCCCTGCCACACACAAAATAATACAACACAATTCATTCCCCCCCCCCACCCCATTCTTTCTGATACAGTACTAGCCAATGATAACAAAAACTAGAGCCTCAAAGAGATGTTTGGTAGTGCACTCCATTATAATTTTTAGTTTGTGTATATAAAGATATATATATATATATATATATATAGGGAGAGTTTTTTTGTTCATTTCTTTTTTAAGATACAGTACTTTACAACCCCTTGACAATAAGCGTGAGGGTCTTTCCAATCCCATCCCCAAGCTTTGAGCTATGGGTGACTTGGTAACAGGTTTTCAAAATAAAATTGGGGCATTTTTATGCCCCAGATGTCCAGGTAAATACAATTCCAGTGTCAGTGCACATCTCATCAGAATTCATCGATTTTCCTTTGCAGGTATTTTAACATAGAGTCCATCCCTTGTGCAGAGCCCCAGATTTTCTTTAAAGCTTCACACTCCTTGTCATTTGCTTGTTCTAAGTCCACCTTCATGATATTACGGACTAAAGCTTTGGATTCTTCAAGCACCTGTAACACAAAACCCACAAATGATATTAGTAATCTGTGTGCTAAATGTTTGTTAGTAAAGTGGAATAGTCACCTGTAGATGTATGTGGGCAAATCCCAATATTGCTAAGAGAAATTATGCACACGAATCTAGGGGACAATATGTCCAACATTGAGCAGTTACTTTTCCATAAAGTAAATACAGGAGCTTCTTCATTCTGTGCCAGATAAAAGTGGAAATATTTGAGTATGAACCAGACTTTACAGATGGTATTAAAAGAGACAGAAGTCATATAACAACTTGGTAAATTCTGATCACAACACTGTGTTTTCCAGGATTGTCTGAATTATAACCTGGTAGACCTTACATCTAAAAAATAGCTTTTTTTTATTTTTAAGTAAAATTTCATAGGCTGCTTTTAAATGCTAAAGTTGATGATTTTTAGACAATTCTTTTGCCCTGCTCCGAAAACAAAGACTTCATAAAAGCAGAAACTGATGTTGATTTGTTGTGAAGATTGTGACTATCTAGTAGTTTAAAATATACTTTGCATTTTGGTAAAACTCCAGCTGGCAGGAGCGCAACTGCCACCTGTGGGCAGGAGCAGAAAGGCTCCTGTATCTTCTTACTATGTGCATCTCTGAGAATTTAAACCTAATTTAACGGAGTGTCCAGAATTTTATACTCATGGTTCTTATGTACAAGTATATTTATATTAGTCTCTTGATGTGTGATAAAATGTTGGTAAATATTTAAGTTACATTGTGTAAGTGGTTCTTTGATGTGAAAGTGGCGGAGTCTGTTCTTTCTTTCTAGGGCAAATGAAGTGCTGACCCCAAAAGCTACTTTGAGCAGGTATGTCATTAAGGGACTGAGACTGTTAGTACTTAAAGATGGTTAAAAAATTCTCCTCCTCCACCCCACCCCACCCCACCCTGGTTTTATTAGTATTTATAGCCAGCTGTTGAGATGAAGGAAAAATCACGGATTATTTTCCATCCAAATTTGGAAACTTCAGTGTTGTTTGTTTTTTGACTGATTTTATTGACTACACCAGGGGTCAGCAACCTTTCAGAAGTGATGTGCCGAGTCTACATTTATTCACTCTAATTTAAGGTTTCGCGTGCCAGTAATACATGTTAACGTTTTTAGAAGGTTTCTTTCTCTAAGTCTATAATATAGAACTAAACTATTTTGTATGTAAAGTAAATAAGGTTTTTAAAATGTTTAAGAAGCTTCATTTAAAATTAAATTAAAATGCAGAGCCCCCCAGACCAGTGGCCAGGACCCGGGCAGTATGAGTGCCACTGAAAATCAGCTCGCGTGCCGCCTTCGGCATGCGTGCCATAGGTTGTCTACCCCTGGACTACACTATTGCTACTGTTAAACACAGAGGAGTTAGCCACACTGTGGTGTTAAAGCAAAGACTCTTCTCTTCCTCCCCTCCTCCGCCCCCCCCAATACACCTGCCATTCATTTCTGTATTTCTGCTCAGTTCTTATGGCAACTATTTTAATTTGGAGTGAGTTAGTATTAGTCTCTTTCTATGTGGAGTATACTCTTAATAACTTAGATTTTGCCTTGTGTTATTAATCCTAGAATCTATTACAGCGTGTGATAATTTGAGAGGTGCCTCTCTCCTTGACCTCTTTATTCTTTAATGATGAGCCTAATAATATTGGAATGCGTTATTAAAACTTTGTGCTCCAATCTACATAATTTATCTCAAGTATTCCATGCGAATTGTTTCTAGAAAGATGAGTGAATGATGTAGTTCATTATTAATCTATTTATAAAATGGAAGAAAATAAAATGAAACTTACAACTGAATTACATGTGACAAGTTCCTTAATTCGAACCATTACTTCCTGTGTGAATGTTCCCGGCCAAAACACTTGAGATACCAATCCTTTTGCACAAGCTTCCTGCGCAGTCAACTTCCTTCCACTGAATAACATTTCATTTGCCTGAGGGGATAAAAAGTTATTTCTGATATGAAATGTAATGACAAAAGAAAAGTTTAAAGGAAAATGTTAATAAAATGCCTGCACTATTGGGATGCTTGGTTGTACTGTAGCTCTCCAGTGTTAATCCAAATACATCAGTAATATATAAAAAGAAAATAGATGTTAAAATTATTGTGTTGCCAACTATCATAACTCAGTAGTTAATCAGAGATGCGTCTGATTAAATAAGAAATCACCAGATAAATACTTGAGAAAAGTCACACTTTTTCCATTCATGAATGGTTAAGATGTAATTCACTTGAAATAGTGCTATTTATAACTCATACTAAAAATAAATCATAATTAGATTGCAACATTAAAAAAAAAATCTGGAAAATAGATGGAGGTGATTACAAATAGCAGTTTGATGCATCTCCTGTGTTTGATTAGTTTTAGTGGTTTAATTTTGACTTCTGCAGCACTAACAAACAGTAACATTCCTCCACAGATCACCATTCAGTTGACTCATTTTCTGTATTGGAAGAAAGCATATTTAAGTCATGCAGCAACAGATTTTGCAGCTTAAAAATTTTACCACTGAGACTTTAAATATTTAAAATGTGATATTCTCACAGGGCCTGATCCCAAAGTCCACTGAAGTCAGTAGGAGTTTTTACAGCAACTTGAATGAACTTTTGATCCGGTTCATAGTATTTCCTCCTTTCTAATTACCTCAGACATATGTTGTTTTAATACTTAATTTAAAAACAGTTGTTTTGAGTAGGTGGATAGAGCTTCTGTTCTTTCTGAATCTTTGAGGCCTAGTTTTAAATAGTATTTTTATGAAATGGATTATAGGCATGGAATGAGAAAATATATTGGAGTGCAGGATAATTCTCTCATGCAGGAGTTAGTGCACTATTATAAATAATGTGTATTATTTTCTAATGTTAAATACACCTATGCTAATATGGTAAAATGTATTATTTGCCCTTAACTTTAAGCACAAATATTTCTATCTTTTAACATTCTATTCCATTCTTAGTAGCTGCTGCATTGATAGTCTTTCTTTAATACCGAGTTGCTACTTTCTACATTAAAGGAAATCACAAGGCTATTCAGTAAATTTATTTGCAGCTGAAACATTACTCAATGACAAGGCCACTGTATCAGAGCTCATGGAATACAGAGAAGAAATATGACACGGATCTGACAGATTTAGCATTTTTTAAGATAAGCAATTGAATAATGCTTGGCTCTTAGCCTTTCATCCAAGGATCTCAAATAACTTACAAATCACTATCCCCATTTTACAGATGGGGAAACTTAAGGCCCAGCATGATTAAGTGACTTAATGATACAGTGAAATAAAAGATCTGAGTTCTTGCTAACAAATAAAGTTACTGATGCCCAGTCCACTAAACACACAGACTACACCATGTATTGAGAGGTTTCATAGAATAGTTTCACTATATTTGCAGATCCAAAGGAAGACACTAAATAGATTTCCATCTCAAGTTGCAGAAAGGAAGCTATGAATCATGTACAAAAAGAGAAGGTGTTGGGTAGATCCACCTATAAATCCACCTTGTGTAAAAAGTTTAACAAAAAGTTTATGAACCTGTTTGCAAAATTGGAAAGTATATTTGTGATAGCTGTTAACCGACAAAATTGTAGCTAAACAGAGTTATAAGAATGTTGCATCATGGACTATCTTATACGCACTTGATGTCAAGTGAACACATCAGGAAAAGGAAGTATCTTTTGCGAGAAGGTACAAAGTGAAGAACTTCTGAACTAACACTGAATTTACTTTTTGTAATTACAAATCTACTTGGGAGTTTATAAACGTAATTTGTCTAATTATTTACCATCTGTAGGAGTGTATGAATGCCAGAGTGACTTTTTATTCCTTTAGAACCTGATAGATCTGGCTGAGCTCTTTCAACAAGAAAGAACTGTAATGAAAAATGTTGTGGTCATGTTAAATCTCATTTACAAGCTACGAAACAGCAGAGCCTCTCCAACTTGAAGTAAGCACTCAGTAGTGTTATGGTTTCACAGGTTTTGAAGGGGAATGCTTTCTGCTATGGGCTGGCACTTAGCTCTTGATCTAGCTCCAATACATGCCAAAACGTTAACAGCAATTTGACCAGAGTCCTGCTGTCAACAATATTCTGCAACCAACACCTGTATTTCTGCTCTGAAAATTGACAGCGCTATTAGCCATTTCCCATAGAAATAGAATAAAATGTAAAAAGTAATGACACAATACATTTCACTAACACTCTGAGTGGTAAGCTGGCTTTTGGGTATGTCTAAACAAAACAAAACAGTGAGTCTGAACCCAGGGCTCTAGACTCAGGGTTGAGCTATGGTGCTACGAATAACTCTAGGCATTCAGGCTCAGGCTCTGAAAGCCCCTTTCTCCCGAAGATATAGAGCCCAAGCCCAAATGGCTACATGGCTATTTTTAGCACTATAGCGCAAGCCCAAGGCTGTACAGCCGGGCTCTGAGATGCGCTGCCATGGGGCTTTTTTGCCATGCAGACGTACTGTTCCTTCATTCCTGTTTCCTACTCATTCTGTTTCAATTCCTCCATCCATTTTGTCCTTATTTTTAAAAAATCCAATTAGCACGTGATCCCCTCTCCCAACAGGTTATAAACATGATTTTAGGGGACAATATGTTCTAGAACGTGGTTATTTTTAAAAAAACCCAACAATATAGGAATTTCTATACTGGATCAGACCAATGGTCCATCTAGTCCAGTATTCAGTCTCTGGCTATCCAGAACCAGCTAATTTAAGAATAATTTTTGCTACAAGTAGAAAAATCAATACATTCCCCAAGGAACATGTAAAGTTCATGCAATCTAAACTCAAACTTTCTAAAAAATTATCAGTCACAAAGTTTCTCAAAACTAGAAACCAAATACAAATGGAAAGGAATGACTGCTCACTTAGAGTAGACACCAGCATGAAAAAATTATTAATCTAACATTTAAATTTTTCTATTAAAGAACTGTATCTGGCAGTCTCACAATGAGGTCTGTTAATTAGTTATGAAATCTATTCAAACTTTAATTACACTAGTAAAATAAAAATTTAAAGTTCCTTCTAAATCAATCAGTAAGTGCATCTGTTTGTGTGTGTGTGTGTGCGCGTGTGGGGGGGGGGGGTTCTAGAAAAAAAAAAATTCAGGCAGCCCTAGGCACGTGCTTCATGGAGCTGCTAGTCAATTTCATACTGGCTTATGCTGCAGGTCTAACATCAAATGCTGCTCAGAAGGATGCATATATATTATGAAATAAAATGCACAGTAGTATGAAGCAAAATGAAAAATAATGCAGGTAACTGTGGCTTTTTTCAGCTTTTTTTAAACTTTACCCCTTCACTTGATTTTTTTTTTTTAAGCTGTATGTAAATGCAGTTTCAGTAGTAACATGATATGGGAACATGTTTTTAACCTACTGATCCTATAGACTACACACTTCCCTGGCATAACACTTAGGAGTGACAAACAAAAGTGTCTTATTGGAACACTTGAGAAATAAAATATCAGGTTATTAATATGTTAATATTAAACAAAGCCACTTCAACTGATATGTGCATCTTAGGAAAGTTTGACGAGGCTACTCATGAGAGAAACAGAGAAAATACATGGACATATTTTACACATTAAGGTAAGATTGTGAGAAGTAAGCAATTATAGGTGGCAGCTAGAAATGCAATACTCCAGTATGGTTGTGCTTGACTTAGGCATTATGCCTTTAGGAGCACTGGGGGAACAGAGCAGTCTCTGCCTCACACCTTTACAGGATGCAGCATGTAATCCCTCATGTGCTGGCCCAGATCTGCTGGCTAATATGGAGGGAGAGGAAGCATGTTTGTGGCCCAGTTTTCCCTTCTCCTTCCCTTTTGGGGAGACCTCTGCCACTACAACCAGTTAGCCTTGCACAAGGAGAAGGGTTATAATTAGCCCATGCACCCTCTCGCTCCTCTTTTGTATACCCATGGAGGCCTCGTCACAGCCTACTCAGAGTAGATAAGCAAAAAATATATTTATTTCTCATGAACCATTTTCATAAAACAATTACAATCCACGCACCAATGAAAACATGACAGGATCACTGTAGATAAAGCACTAACGGGGCAGAAAGCTGATTATTTATTTTTATTAAAGTTACTTACAGAAGCCAGGCCCATTATCCTAGGAAATGTGAGGGATGAACATCCATCTGGACTCTGTCCAAAAGTAGTGTACGGTGTCTGAAACCAAGCCTTCTCATTAGCCCAAACCACATCACAGAGAGATAATATTGATGCTCCAAGTCCAATGGCTGGGCCATTTACTGCTACAATGATGGGCTTCTTAAACTGAATAAAAGTATTCACAAAATTCCTGAAAAGAAATGAACACTCCATCACTACACATTTTAGCAGCAAAATGTATCAGCCACTCAGCACTCAGTAATAAACAGCAACTAGTTGTAAACAACATTTCAAGAACCTGCTCTATTCCCTCACCCTCTGCAGAACACAACCACTGGGTATCTGCAGACCTCCCACGACCCTACCCGGTCCTTATGGAGTGGCTGTGTGTGGCAATTGACACCATTGGTAGCAGACCATTACTGAGTATGCTCAGACAGCATTCCCAGATTTATCGTAAAACAGAGAGGAAGGGGAGCCTTCCCTGAAAAAACAAATCTGCTTTTTGGAAACAAGTGGGAAAAGATCCATCAATAACTTCAGCCCCATTATCAATCACAGATCTTTAAAACCTTCTCCCCTTCATCCCTTGATCTTCCATGTTCATCATGATCCTCAGAGGTCTAGGTGCCTTAAGGATAAGCAAACTCATCTTCCTTTAGCCACCCAGAACAACATCAGTTTATTTCAGTGACCAATGGTGTCAAAAGCTTGGATAACGCGTGGGTTTCCATGTAGAATTGTGGAGTTCAAATGTGTACCATGAGTGCCATCTGGATAAGACAGAAGCATGCAATCAATCACAGGGAAATGGCAATGAAGAGGGAATAAAATATTGAGAGCCCGGGGGTGACAGTGGCCATTTAAATGTTTAGGTTTATAGGGTAACAGCTCAGAATACTTCTCAACGTATCACATAATTTGGATTTGGTGAAATTTTCTCTCTTCCCATATCCAAAGTTTATTCCAAACTGGATTACCTCACAAACACGAAGCACCTTCAAGCAACTATTACATTGAAATGTGTAATATTTTTGAGACCTAATTTAGAATTGGGAAGGGAAGATGGGGGATTATATTGTGGGGAGGGGGCAAGAGAGCCCCTGGCATGAGGGAGGGGTTGTAGGGAGTTCCTGAAATAGAGGGAAATGGGAGGATGACACACATGGAACTTGTGGGGATGGGGGAGAAATGGAGGGATGCAAGGAGCCTCTCATATGTGCAACAAAGCATGCAACCCTCAAGTATGTAAACATCTCAGGACAACAGCCCTTTCTGTTTAGCTCGCTGATTCTGGCTTTACATTAAAAATTACTCCTAAGTGAGAAGGTCTGGGATAGACTTGAAAAAGCTGAGTAGTCTTGTCTGCAGTAGAGAACACCACCATCAACACTTTCAAAGGTGTGACTGCCTGGGGTAGGAGTACTGCATGAAAGCATTATACTGGTGCAGCTTTCTGTTCACAATAGCCCTGCAATGGTGCTGGCTATCCTCATGCACTATTGCTGAGGTGCGGTACAAGTACAGCAAGCACTTCCAAAAGTGTTGGCATTGTTTATGCTAGAAAAATTCAGTAAAGTCAACGTATTATTGTTTAAGCAGGCCAAAAAGGATGGAGACAAAAATGAACATGATGAGACAAAAGGAAACAGGCTTGATTAGGCACTGTATTGTCTGAAACCACAAATGTTTTGAAACAGTGAAATATAGTAGTTGTAAAATAGTGGCAAATCAATTTCCACATCTGTATATAATCTTGCTGCTTCTTTGAGTGATGGTCCATATACGGATTGCAAACGTGGATGCGCAGGTGTGCCATGTACCAGAGCCAGAAGTTTTTCATAGCAGTGCCCGTTGACCCACACGTGCATCGTGCATTCCCTTGTGTTTGCAGCTGAGGCTATAATAGGCTGTGTGGGTCAATGCCGCTCCAGTTCCCTCCTACTGCTGCATGACTGGAGTTGGAACCCCCGTTCCTCTATGCTCTTAGCTCCGCTGAGATAGTGATCTTTGCCCTTTTATCTGTATATAGTTGTAAATAGTTTGTTTTTCCTTGCAGTTAGTAGAGTTAGTGTAGTTTTTTCCCTCTTTGGAGGGCAACCCCCCCGCCACCCAAATACAGGGACTATGCCCTGTGAGCCTGGCTTCAAGAACTGTGCATTGTGCCCATGCTCATTTTTGGTGAGCGACGAGCAGCAACACTGCTTGTATTGCCTCAGAGAGGCCCATGTTGCCATCCATTGCAGCATTTGCAAAGTGTTCCAGGCCTGAATGCAAGGGCCTTGAGATCATCACCACAGGAAGGTCCTCATGGAGGAGGCCATGTGCCCGTGTGTGCATTCAGACCTGGAACTGGCAGAACTGGTGGTGCACACACACACACCCTCCCTCCATAACCGGTGACCAGCGCTCCTCCAAGCACCGGATCCACTGGTACCTTGGCTGTCGAAGAAGCCCCGCCATGAGGGGGAAAAGTACAGCCATGGCCACTAGAGCAGATCCCCGACCAGGACGCAGCGTTCCCTCCCTGAGCTGTGCCAAGTCGGGTGAGAAGTCGTGCATTGACCTGACCACTCCACCACCTAAGGATCCCAGACTTGAGGGTAAGGCAAAAAAGAAACACGATCTAATGGTACTGTCGGCTTCACCTGTGCCCACGCCGGTGCTCTCCCCCTTGCGTTTACCGCCCATCCCACCAGCTCACCTAATGCCGCCTGGACCCTCAGCGCCACCCCACGACACCCCACACCTCTGGTCGCCTAGACCCACTGCTCTCTACTGAGGTCACCGCTCCTCTCCACTCACCCATGGGACCTGCTGATAGGCAGAGACCCTTACTTCGGGCCTTATAGGCTGCCCTGTGATCCAAACTCAACGCCCATCACCCATCCCCCGCTCCCCATCTGGCAACCTCTGTTTACGAGAAAGACAAACCAGACGTTGAACCGGTCCCGCTGGTCCCGACTGTGGCCTCCTCTTCCCTGGATGAGGCGTTTATCCCTGCCTTGCTCGCCCCACCTGACAACTACTGTCAATATAGACGCTCCCCAACTTACACAAGCATTCCATTCCGGAATGCCTTGCGTAACTCGAATTTTGCATAAGTCGGAAACGTATACCCGACAATTACTCAAAAAAAAAAAACAAAAACACCCCCCCAAAACAACAAACAAACAAAAACAAACAAACAAACCCTCCTATTTCTAGCTTACGGAACTTTTCCCGTAAGTGCGGATTTGAGTAAGTCGGGTTTGCGTAACCTGGAGGGCGTCTGTAGCAGGAACTGCTCCAGCGGGTGGCAATGGCTCTGGGAATCCTGGCGGAGGAAGTCCAGGACATACACCATCAATTACTGGACATCTTCCAACTGCAGGGACCCTCTTGCATGACCCTTCCTGTCAACGAGGCTATTTTACAGCCAGCACAAGCGGTCTGGCATACCCCGCCTCCTGTGCTCCCACTCCCAAAAGGGCTGAATAGAGATACTTCATCCCCGCCAAGGGTGCAGATTTGCTCTTCACCCACCCATCTCCCAACTCTCTAGTGATCCACGCAGCAATGGAGTGGGTCCACCAGCAACCCCAATGCTCCACTCCCCCGGACAGAGGGGCAAAAAAGATTGACCTGCTCAGCAGGAAGGTCTACTCTTCAGCAGGGCTCCAATTTCACATTGCGAACTATCAAGCCCTGCTTGCGAAATATGATTTTCTTAACTTCTCAAAACACGCTGAGTTTAAAGATCAACTGCCAGCAGACAAGCAACAGCAGTTCCAAATTTTCTTGGATGAGGGGAAGCTCAGGGCAAAGTTGGCCTCCAAGTTGCTGTGGATGCGGCCGACACAGCCTCTCGGTCACTGGCAACTGGTGTTGTGCTCCGCAGAGACGCATGGCTGTAGTTCTTTGGTTTCCCGCAGGAGGTCCAAACCACCACTGAAGACCTCCTTTTCGATACATGAAAACAATTCAACGAAAAAAAATGGATGAATCCTCCATTCCCTAAAGGATTCGTGAGCTATCCTCCACTTCCTCGGCATCTATGCCCCAGCCCTGAGGTGCAGGTAGAAACAATTGTTCTGCCCCCGACCACTCGCCCCCTACCCACCGTATTATCAGCAGTAAAAGGAACCACAATGTTGAGGTCAATAGTCACACAGGCCACAATATATGGCCTCTGCCACAACTACCTCCTTGACCCAGCAGCAGTCAAAACAGCAGTTTTGACATACTAGTCAAGATCTACAAACCACTCCCGATCCCTACTGCGGCACCCCATATCATCTTAGGGGACCGTCTTGCCCCATTCTCCCACAATTGGGGCAAGATCACCACGGGTACTTGAGGTCATCTATCATGGAAACTCCATAGAATTCTTCTTGTCTCTTCATCACCCTGGACCCCCTGGGGAGACACATCCCATTAATCCCTCCTCCAACAAGAAGCCAATGCTCTTCTCCTCAAGGGTGCCATAAAGCTTGTCCTGTTTCACTACAGGGAATATGGCTTTTACTCTGCATACTTCCTCATCCCACAGAAAGGCAGAGGCTAGAGACCTGTCCTGGACCTCTGAGTACTCAACAGATTCATTAAGAAATCCAAGGTTTGCATAGTGACGCTCGCGTTGATTATCCTCTCTCCCCACTAGGGAGCCTGGTTCGCAGGTCTCGACATGAAGGATGTCTATTTCCACATTGATACTCACCTGGCCCACCGTAAGTTTCTTCAGTTCATGGTGGGACACCACCATTACCAATTCTGAGTGCTCCCCTTCAGTACAGTTATAGCTCCATGAGTCCTCACAAAAGTCACACACATGCGATGCCTGGCCTACCCCATGTTTCCTTACCTAGACAACTGGCTCCTCATTGCACTTTCCCAAGTCCTCATCGTAGCCATCCTACCTCTTCGCACCCTTCTTACCTCCCTTGGCATTTGCATCAACAAGGAGAAGTCAGTCTTCGTCCCTTCCCAGATGATCAACCTTATTGGGGCCTGACTGGATTAAATCGTGGCACATGCCTTGCTCCCAGAGGACCACTTCACTATGTTCAATTCCTCAATCATGAACTTACGCTGCCAATCCCGCACCACCATCTGCCACTGTCTCTCCCTTCTGGGACATATGGCAGCCTGCACCGACGTAATGCCCCATGCCCGCCTCCACATGCGGTGTCTTCAGATGTGACTCCTCTCCATCTACAGACCACACAGAAACCATACTGACAGTAGAGTTTGACTTTCCCAGACGGTCCTAGTCTTCTTTACATGGTGGACCGACCTCTCCAAGGTCATGACTGGTTCCCCTTTTTTCTCCTCCTACCCCGCAAGCCACCATCACTACAGATGCCTCCCTCACGGGCTAGGGGGCCCACTTGGCTCACCATAGAGCCCAATGCCAGGATGCATATCAACATCTTGGAGCTGAGAGCGGTCTGTTTCTCATGCCGTGCCTTCCTTCCCCTCATATGGTCCTGCCACATTCAACTGCTCTCAGACAACATCGCAGCAGTTGTTTATATTAACAAGTAGGGCAGGGCCAAGTCTCCCTCCCTCTGTGCGGGGTCCATCCATCTGTGGAACTGGTGCATCAAACACCAAGTCACACCCCAGGCCACATACCTCCTAGGCACCCAAAGCTCCCTCGCAGACACGCTCAACAGGTCCTTTCACGTGAACCACGAGCGGGAGTTGCACAACGCCACTCTCCAATAGCTCTTCAGCAGCGGGGGCGTCCCCCATTCGGACCTCTTTGGGACCAGAGAGAATCGCAAACTGCTCCTTTATTGCTTCAGAGAGGGCCATGGGCACCGACTCACAGGGAGATGCCCGTCTCCTCCCCTGGATGGGTGATCTCTGCTATGCCTTTCTCCCCATTCCCCTCCTCCCGCAAGTCTTACGCAAAATTCGCAAGAACCGAGCTATGGTGATCCTGGTAGCCCCATTCTGGCCTCGTTAGTATTGGTTCACAGACCTCTTCCGCCTCTCCGCTCGTACACCACTCTGCCTCTGCACATGCCTGAATCTCTTCACTCAGCGCCATCCCAATCCAGGCCCTATCCACCTCACAACCTGGTTTTTGGATGGAGCTTGGGGATAGACAAGAGGTTTTTGACCCTAGTGTGCCATATCCTTATGCAAGCAGGAGGGTGTCCACCACCTGCTACTTGGAGCAGTAGAAGTGCTTCCCCTCATCGGTGCACCGCCATCGCCACCCACTGGAGACGATCTCCATACTCATCATCCTTGATTACTTCCTTGAACTTTAAATGTTGGACCTCACCATCAGTTCCATACGGGTCCACCTGGCAGTGCTTAGTGCCCTTTTCCCCCATTTCTGTGTCCATACACCCTACTACTGTACACTTCCTAAAAGGTCTGCTTAATACCTTCTCGCGGGTGCTCAAACTCCCACCTTCATTGGACTGTAACCTGGTCCTCTCCACCCTCACAAAACCGCCCTTCGAGCCCCTCACCACATGCTCTCTCTCCCACCTCTCCATGAAGGTTATCTTCTTAGTTGCCATTACCTCGGCAAGACGGTCAGCAACCTTATGGCCACAATAGCTGACCCCCTCCTTACACTGTCTTCCACAAAAAGTTAAAGTTTTCCTGTGGCTGCGCCCCAATTTCTTCCTGAAGGTGGAAGCAGAATTCCACTTGAATCAGTGCAGTCACCTCCCACTCTTCTATCCTAAACCTACGCCTCCCATATGACCAGAACACTGCATTCCCTCAACGTCCAACATGCGCTGGCGCTCTACCTACAATGCACCCGTGCCTTTTGGGTATCACCAACACTCTTTATCACCATTGCTGATGGATGCAAAGGTCTAGCCCTCTGACAGCGAATCTCCAAGTGGATTTCAGGGTGCATTCATGAATGTTACATGTGCACCGATATCCCCCACCTCTTGGATTCACGGTGCACTCTAACTTGAGCGCTCAGCAACCACATTTGCCTGTTTCATGGACGTTCTGTGGCAAGACATCTGCCGCACAGCATGGCGCTCCGTTCACAGTTTCATGTCCCACTACACCATCGTCCTGGCACCAGCTGCAGATGCAGTTATAGGCCGTGTTGTACTCCAGATCACACTTCCTCATACCCACCTCCATGCTGATCACTTACCTGTAACAGAAGGCTCTTTGAGATGTGTGGTCTCTATTTGGATTCCAAGACCCACCCTCCATCCCCTCTGCTTTGGCCTAGACTACTTAGTGGTAAGAGGAATACTGGAGTGGCATCGACTCACACATCCTATTATAGCCCTGGCTGCAAACACGAGGATGATGCACGATGCACATGTGGGTCAACGGGCAGTGCTAAGAAAACTTTCTAGCTCCGGCGCATGGGACGCCTGCGCACCTACATTTGGAATCCAAAATGGGACCACACATTTCAAAGAACCTCCAGTTACAGGTAAGTAACCTCCTCTTTCTCAAGACAGAAGGGGGTCTGACATTAAAAGAATTCTGTGGAGAAACCTGCTGATATTAAAAAAGTACCTATATTTTCTTAGTTTGATTTTCTTCCCACTATAAAAATAAAAAAAATCTTTTCCTTAGAACAAAGCCCTAAGAGCAGAGAAGTAGGCAGCAAAGTACCAAAGCTTTCTTTAAGATGTTTTGGAATGCACAGACTGGGCTGTTACTCCTTTGCTGTCAGAAAGGGTGTTACCTGGTGAGTTTAAGACAGGATTTCAATTTCAGATATTTTCTAAAGCCTCCTCATCTCAGGAGGAAAATATGAGGAAGACAGCTCGGCATGGTCGGGAAAGGGAAGATCTTTTGGTCCAGTATGGTATCTCAGAATCTGATTAAGGTCTTGTCCCATCAAATGTGGTCCCTGACTGGTATGAACATCAGTACAAATTCTGAAGGAAAACACACTATTCTAGACCATAAAACATTTCTCCTGGTCACTGTGTTGCTAGCTATCATTTTCAGCAGAGGATGCAAAACTTAGTCATTATCTTGTGTTATTGCTTCTAATTTGGCTTTCTTGGAGGAGCAAGGCATCTTAATGTCAATTAACTCAGCTGAAAACACTTTGGGCCATGTAATACATACTGACCACAACAGCTAGCCAGCAGACTGGGCTCAGAAACAGCTTAACAGAAGAGGGTTTTAGAAGGCTGAGCATATATGCCCCTTCCTTAGAGCAAAAAATCACTATCCTAGAGGGAAGGGCAGAAAAACTGTCTTTTAGGGTTGGCATTTCTACTCCTTTTATCTAATTAGTCTCAGTCACGTTGTGCTTAAAGTCCATGATTCCAGAACAAAAGTTGTAATAGATTTTATATGACTTAAATAAGGCAGAATGGAGATTGCCCCCTTCACCTCAATGGTTTTCTCCAATTTTCAGCTGGTAGAATTGTACAGGAGCTCCTTTTTGCTTCATAATTAAAAAAAATAGAAGATAAAATGTTTGTAAAAATTTGAGAATTTGGGCCATAGCTACAGCGTTTCATCAACATAATGCAGTTGTTGGAAAACAACGAACCGTCCTACTGTAGTTAGGTTATAGTTAGCCTTCTATAACCTATTCTTTCTTGTAATATTTTAATGCTAAGTAGGTAGTGAGTTCCTGTATTTTGACACCTTTTGTTTTCTCTTTGCATTTCTGTAGCTTCTTCTGCCTGCCTGCCCATTTAGAATAAACATTGTATTGAAATTTCTTATTTCAGCTATTCAAGAATCTCAGAATAGCAGGCAATATCAAATTTTTTCCTCACTAAAAGATAGAAGGGCAACCTTTAAAACCGAAGGCCTGATTTAACATCCATTTAAGTAAATGAAAAGATTCCCACAGACTCTAATGGAAGATGGATCAGGCCCAAACAGAGCTTAAGAATCTGGCATCAACAGTATTTTTTTAGGAAATGTTTTAAACTAAAAGAACTCACTTACATTTGTAAGGTCAGGTGTTCCCAGTGTTGAGTGATTTTTAACCCCTGATGTTCCTGCCAGACAGAATTGTGGGAAAACTTTCGCACTACTGGTGAAACTGACAAAGAAACCCTATTTAAAAAGAAGCTAGTTCTTGGAGAGTTAGGTGCTAAATACCTTTGAGGAGCTGGGTTTAGAGCTTGTCTCCTGGGGAAACTGATAGGAATAGCTATTTCTATTAGACAATAAAATATGACCTGAAGTGGATTAAGTTAAAACTGGAAAAAGGTATTCTTATTCTAGAATAAAAGTCTCCAAACAGGGAGTAATTCTGAAACAGCTGTAGCACTTTAAATTCTCACTCTACCTTTTCTAGGCATAATTTCCCCATGTAGGCAAGCCCTTATTAGCCACTTGTTTCAAATGGCTTCACCACTTACATAATCAATGAACACTTGAAACCTTTTATCTTTTTTCAAGAAAGCTAAGAGTGAATTATGAGCATTAGTTCTTCCATCTATATTTTTGGATATTTATGCTACATGTAAACATTCAGGTAATCAAAATGTAATAGGAAACCAGTTTACAAGTTACATGGGGAAAAATATCCTTGAGATATTGTAAGAGGTACACATTAAATGCTTATAATCCAACACAGGCACAGTGTCCATCTCAGCGGCATGTTTCTTTCTTTAAAAATTATGCTTTATAAGACAATTAAGTTCATTTATTTGAATATGGAATTTGACAGCTAGCTAGGATGTTGCTCACAAAGATTAAGCCATCCCTTTAGAATGTCTGTCATTCTACCTTTTTTATATGGACTTTGTTCAATCTATTCTTTCAGCACATTTATATATTGTTTGTACTGCTTTTGAACAATACATTTAAAATAATCTTTTAAAAGCATTTCTCAGGTCTGTGTTGTTTATATTAGGAACGCTATCATGCTAAGTTTTTATCAGACACAGGGGCTCTAATTCAACATGGCAAAAATGGAGTAAAAAGCTATGAATAAAATGTAAACTTGAACAGAAAGGTACAATATAAACAAGTTATGCACACTGTATATTATCAAAACTGAACGTTTGACCACACTAAATTCCTACTAAGAAGAATATAGTTAGATCTTTTATGAGATAAATTAAAAATAAACTAGTTTAGACAATGAAAAAAATCAACACTTAAATGACTGAAAACAATTTTACATACCTAATAGCTTCTGCCATCTTAGTGCTTTCCCTTTTTCTATCATCTGTTAAACGTCGTATAAAATAAATAAAATCAAGACCACAGCAGAAGACACTACCAACTGCACTGAGCAGCACAAGTTTACTGTCATCTGCAGCTGCTGTATTCAGTGCACTTTGGACTTCCTTCATTACCTGAAAATCAGCAGGAATTAAATTCGTCAGACTCTTTTTATTGTGTTATTAAAAAGTAACAAACTGTTGTTCTTTTTTGACAGGTCTGAATCTGAACTTTTACATTCCTGTGTATTCCCTAGTATCTGGGATACTTGCAAATTCTGCTGCAGGTGTTTGTTTAAACACATTCAAATTTTTCATTGTCCAAAGGAAAAGAGAGTCTAGAAATGTATGTTAAAAAATGTGCAGATCACAAATATGATTACACTGAGATAATGTAATCATTAGGAAGAAATCCAGCAGTCTGCATCTGTTGCTATAGCACTCTCTCAGTATTTCTGTAATTTGAACACCAGGTGGCATATGCAACCAGTTCAGAAAAATGACTTGAATTTAGGCTGAAGTTTATTTCAAGTCGCACTTAATAAACCACTAAGTTTATTATGAAAGGCTCCAACTCTAAATATTCAGATAATGTAGTGTATTGTACAGTGTTAATAAATAAAACTGAAACATACTAAGATTCAGATTTTAAAAGGCAAGAAAGTATAATATTTACACATTTATAATACTTTAAATGCACTAGTATGACTTTTCTGGAACCTACTGAACTATAAGTTGTTTTTTCATATTTCTGTGATTAATAATAATACTGTAATTATTGAAAATATTTGTACCACCCCCCCCAAAAAGCAAGCAAACAAACAAATCAAACCACATAAAACAAAACATTCTAACCTCTGGATTTAGTGAGTTGTTGTCAGATGATTTTGTTGATAGCAAAACGTGCGTGAATCCGTCTTGTTTCCTGACAACAATGTCTCTATACCGGTAAGCACTTTCAGTTTGTCTCACGCTGAAACGTAGCCTCTTGTCAAAAGGTTGGTCTCTCCTATCATCAATAAATCTCCTTTTGCTGGCTGTCACTCCTGTTACAGATGTTTGTATGTTGGTTGTACCGTTGGCTGCTAATGCTTCAATAAAGGTGGATGTACCTGTAAAGAGTTTGAAACAACAGTGTTATATTAATTTAGTTCTATAGCTGGAAAATCTCTTATCATGGAGGCATGTCAGTCAAAGCATACTATGATAACATACAAAAACAAGTGCCTTTGTTCTCTACCATTTGGCAAACATTTAAAAAAATTGTACATGGAACCAAACCTGAAAGCAAAATACTGCAAAGGATGAAATACTTGAAGCATGAATTTTAAGGCTATGAGAAAAGAAATTTTTAAAGGGAATAATTTTTGCCCATTCTTCTTTTATCTGATTATTCCTAAAACTGGAAAACTCTTTACTTGGGGATCCTACCAGTAGTACAATTAAGACATTTTTAGAAATATATTAAAATAAAAGAAATGACAAAGATGCACTACCTGAGGAAATTTGCTTTTCCCCTCCTCTAAGTGGCTTAAAATCTTTAAAACCATATACAAAAGAGAAAGCGAAGGGCTTTGTTTTAACCAAAAGTGGGAACTCAAACTCCTGACCAAACTCACACCTTTGACAAAAATCAAGTAAAAGAGTTGGACTAACAAGACCATATAGAGTATATGAATGTTTACAGAAAGGTAGGAACAGGGAACACAGGGCAGTCTTAGTGAGAAAGATACAGAATCAATCTCTGAAGTGGAAGGGTGTAATGGGAGACATGGAAATATGGCCCTTCTTGACCTACATAATTCTTTCCATTAATACTTTGCCTTTCTGATCTTGCTCAAAGTGATCTTAGCTTAACAAAGAGAAGGTTAACATGTGACTTGATTACAGTCAATTAGTACCTACATGGGGATAAAATATTTAATAATGGGGCTCTTCATCTAACAGGATCCAATGGCTGGAAGTTGAAGCTAGACAACTTCAAACTGGAACTAAGGTGTACATTTTTTAACAGTGAGCGTAATTAACCATTGGAACAATTTACCAAAGGTCGTGGTGGATTCTCCATCACTGACAATTTTAAAATCAGTACTGCATGTTTTCCTAAAAGATCTGTTCTTTATATGGGGATTATTTTGAGGAAGTTCTATAGCCTGTGTGACACAGGAGGTCAGCCTCGATGATCACAATGGTCCCTTCTGGCCTTGGAATCTGAGAGTCTATGAAAATTTTAATTGGTGGAATTTCAAAGAATGCAAGTGAACAAGCCACCCAGAGAGTCACAGAAAGTATCAGGTTTTTTCTACATTCCATGGTGTGAATGTAATATTGTCTAAATTAACATTTATGGGAGGTGCAAAGAACATTATGAGAGATATTCATGTCCAGTAGATAAAGGAGCTTACACACCTTTCAAGATCCATGGGTCCTACACGTACTTATCACAGCATGTGGTGTACCCTCATCCAGTGCACTAAATTTCCCAATAACAACTATGTTGGTGACACCGATCACTACACTCTTGCAGGAATTCACACAGAAAAATGATAAAAGACAAAAACATTGTATCACCCGTGGGCAAATGCTTTTCACAAAACGATCGCTCCATAGCTGACCTCTCAGTCCTTGTCCTCAAAGAAACCCTGCACAACACCTTAAAAGACAAGCCTTAGAGCTTAAATTCATAACTTTGCTAAACACTAAAACTCATGGTCTTAATAAAGACACTGTATTTATGACTTATTACAACTATCTTTAATCACTAACTTCCCTTTTTTGTTCTATGGCAGCAGGGGTGTTAATGGGCCAGTTCATTTTGATTGGTCTCTGGCAATATGTGTTAATAACTTATGCTAAACAATCTGTTCCACCTTTAGCTCACACTTTGAGTATTTTTCCCAGACCTGAAGAAGAGCTCTGTGTTGCTAGAAAGCGCATCTCTTTCATCAACAGAAGGAGGTCCAATATATAGGTGCCGACTCCGTGCTCAGCACCTATCAGCCACAGCTGTTTGGTGGCTTGGGGAGGAGCTTGGGGGAGGGTGGAGAATGATGGACGGGGACCTTGGGGAAGAGGTGGAGCGAGGGCAGGGCCCCGGGGGAGGGAAGAGGCAGGACTTGGGGCGGAGCACCCCCAGGGTAAACTAGAAGTTGGTGCCTGTGGTCCAATAAAAGATATTACCTCACCTACCTTGTCTCTCCAATAGATAAAGGGACATTTCTCAGTAGAGATTTGCATGTTGCCATCTGAAACCTGTGTAAAGCTGTAATTCAAATATGAAGAGCAGAAACACTGGAAAGGTGTACTACCAGGCTAAACCACAAATCTGTTTTTTTTCATATTTTCATGTTTAACAAAAGATGAGAGCCCATTTGTCAAATATTTAAAGATTAACTATGGCCCTGATCCCCCAATGGGATCCCCAGGACCCATAATTGTACATATTATATCTTAAAGATAGCTAAAATGAAACTTATAGACAAGCCTTAATAAAAAACAAAACAAAACAGTGGTGGATCTTGTTTAATCACTGTAATTTCCCTTGGAATAATTCATCCTGTTTAGCTGAAGTAGCTACATGAGATATTTAAAAACTGTGACTAATGTATAGTGCTGTCACTTTAAAAGAGTATGTGTGGGAGACTTGTGGGTCCCATGAGGACACTATGTACGTTTACCTAAATAGTTTGCTACACTATTACTGTAATTGGGATATTTACTTGTTATTTTTGGCCAGATTTGAATTAGGAATTACACTGCACTAATAAAAAGATATTTCAAATAAAATAAATTTTGAGAGTGCATCAGTTTCTCTAACATTTACTTCGTTACTTTTCTCTTTCAAACAAACAGAACCCTTAAAAAAATAAATGTAGCACTTCGTATGTAATGCATTTGCAAATAAAAGTACTTCTGATTAAAAACCCCATAAGATGATTAATTATGTAAATTGTCAATTCAATTGAAAAATTTTATTTTACTTTTTAATATCTTTTGTATCCTCTGACTTATAGCATTAATAATCTACTGCTCTCTCTCTATAACAATTTGTATGGAGAAGATAAAGAGAATTCAAGGTTTTTCCACAGTCATTTAAAGGGAAGAGATTGAGAATGGTCCACAAACTGAATCCATTTTTTTTCAAAGAGGATAGAGGGAGAAAAGTAATGTGGAAGATTGATGTTATTTTACGTTGTCATAGAAGATTCACATTTATTCCTATATTTTCCAGTTTATCAAATTCTCTTTCACTTCAGCAGAATAAATAAAACTTAATAATGAATACAAAATTTGAAATTGCTTGTAGGAGTTCACATCAGATATTTTTCTCTTTTTAAAACACAACAGGGATGATCATAGTTCTATAGAACAGGGGCTCTCAACCTTTTTCTTTCTGAGGGCCCCCCACCATGTTATAAAAATTCTGGGGCTGGGGGGAGGAAGGACTCAGAGCTTCAGTCGCGGGGAGCCTCCGGGCTTCAGTGAGGGGAGTGTGTGTGTGTGTGCGGGGCGCCTCAAGGCTTCTGCCCTGTGGGTCTCCAGTGCTCTGACATCCTACCCACAGGGTGCCAGTGCTTGGGGCTTCAGTTGCAGGGTGCCAAGGCTCAGGGCTTCAGGCTTCATCTACAGGGCACCACAGCTTGGGCTCTGAGCTTTCTGCCCTGGTCCTCAGCCAATCTTACACTGATCCTGCTTCGCAGATCCCCTGGGGTCCACAGACCCACAGTTGAGAACCGCTGCTATAGTGGAGAAGTTGCAAGAACACAATATTCTGTTTTTCATTAGCAACTGAAGATGAAGTGGTATTAGTTTTTGCAATGATTTAGTTTTCATTATGAAGGGTAAATCAATACAATTCAAATCACCTCTACTTTGAGACTTAGGAGGTCATGACAGAACAGCAAAAATTACAACATTCAGGAAAACTGTAGAGAACTTAGGTTTTTGCTCATAACTTATACTACTAAAGATGTCCTCTTGTAACAAATAACTACTTTAGAGATTCTAGAGGCAATGAGATACTTAACATACACCCTCCCCCCCCCCGCAAAAAAACCCCAAAACCTCAAGCCTTCTTTGTCAAGGTAGACCAAGATATAAAGGTCAAAGAGCAATTTCCCTGCTTATCGGACAACACACATGAGGAAGTGCACACATATATTACAGCACTGGATGGTAGATATAGTTCAAAACCTAAGATAAAATACAACTGGGCAGCTGCACTTAAATGGAAGGAGATCTATGGTTTAAATCAGTGTTTCCCAAACTTGGGACGCCGCTTGTTCAGGGAAAGCCCCTGGCGGGCCGGGCTGGTTTGTTTACCTGCCGCGTCCACAGTTTTGGCCGATCATGGCTCCCACTGGCCGCGGTTCGCCGCTCCAGGCCAATGGGGGCTGCAGGAAGCGGCGCGGGCTGGGGGACGTGCTGGCCGCCCTTCCCACAGCCCCCATTGGCCTGGAGCGGTGAACCGCGGCCAGTGGGAGCCGCGATTGGCCGAACCTGCGGATGCGGCAGGTAAACAAACCGGCCTGGCCTGCCCGGGGCTTTCCCTGAAGAAGTGGCGACCCAAGTTTGAGAACTACTGGTTTAAATAGTTGTCCACTTTTAATCGCTGAAAACAAACAAACATTCTGACTATATTAATGGACCAGGGCCACAGACTTGCTGACTTAAGAAAAAAGTGCGTATTTTTCTGGCAAGGAATTTCAGCCAATTTCTTTTAATCAGAAAATTACATTCATAGATCAAGAATACTGGATCAGTATCTATTAACACATGTTGGTTATAGGACCACCACGGTACATAATAGGATTTACTGGACCTTGAAATGTAGTGTACAGTTTCTCATGGCTTTTAGTCATAAAACTGAAGAAAAGAATTACAGAAATTCAATGTAAAGCACTACATTATGTCAAGTAAAAATACACACGCATTAGTCAAGTTACACCACAGTCCTGAAGTAGTCTCAGATTTTTGTTACAGCAAATGAGCATAAAAGAATCAAACAAATATACCATGGACAAATCTTAGAATTGTATTTGCATAATTAACATGAGATGTCAGTCACTTAGTTCCAAGTAATTTAATACCATAACAATATTTAAACCACAAA